AAAAGAAATAGAACTTAGTTTTGATAAGTTCAATATCAAACTAAGTTCAATTAACAAAACTAAATTCTATTTCTTTTGTTGTTCAAATTCCCTAAGATACCTTTTTATTATTAATCTATGATATTTTGCACTCATGGATTTAGCAAATGGTAATTCAATGATTACAAAATAATAACAATATATTTTTTAATTGATTACCCAAAAATTAATCTATCATATTTTTCCCTAAATATATATACATTAATTTCCTTGATTATATTTCTTATTTTGTTATATCCATAAAGTTAATAATAAAAGACCAATCCTCTCATAAATCTAAACGTAAAAACATAATACCTACAATCTGTCTCAAGTTTCATCTTTTAAAACGTCTTTCCATTCGAGAAGAAGCTTATCCTCAAAGAATAATTGGCATTAGCTTGAGAGTGTTCATAGTATAAATACATATATACGTACAATATATATACTTATATGAGAATACATAAGAGAAGTGTATATGTTCAACAAAGTTGAAAGACAGAACAGCACTAAAATGTTTGCATATTCATAGTTCTACAATAGACACATGTATATACAATATATATATATGTATGTAAGTATGTACTATGTATCTATACAAGACTAAGGAAATACGGTATATTAATTTATACAACGAATGTTCTCGTATACGTAGAAACGACATAGTCATTTACTTATTGCTTCATGCATCAAGTAAAACCCTACCCGAGAATCGAAATTATTCGACGAATATTAATAACCCTTACACGTAGATATTTATCTTATATATATATATGTGTATGTGTACGCGTATGTGTATTTGCGTACGAACACTTCTATCAAGTTAAAAATATATCACACCTTGACAACATTTTTATCTTGAACACATTACATGCAATCTATTTTAAATTTAATTGCATTAACAATTATTTTATTTATATAATATAATAAAACAACACACACTGATGTGACAATAATAATATTATTTTATAATATGTATGTAATTTGAAATAATATATATTCTAACAATTGACGTTCAATATATCTTGCAAATAACATATTAGAAAAAACATATTARTACGTGTCCCACATTACAATGTGTTTATACTTAAAGTATCAGATTCATCTTAAATAAATTTCTAAGTTTAAATTCTTTATCAATATCATATCAAATTTGTCGATCCATTTGCTTCATTGACGTAAATGTAAGTAAATTAAAAAAATGTTCTTTTTTTATTGAAGCTTAATATTTTATAAATATATATCTATAAATACTGGTACTTTAAAATTTTATCACACACTTTTTCTTACAAAATAATTATTTTAAAATTAAATAAATATTATACCAGATATGATTTGACGTATGTTAAACTTGACTCTAGAATTTAAATCAATCATTATTACTTTTAATATTATAATATGAATATTAATCCATTAATTTTATTTTATATTATATGAATATTAATTCAAAAATTCTATAAACTAGGGATACCCATAATACACCAGAAATATCTACATATGGTATACAGTAGTATCTCTAATTATAACATATACCAACACCTTCCCATAGATGCCAATTCCTAATGAATGATTTATCCCCATAACTCGGAATAGGAAGCCCTTTTAACGTCGTTACCATACTAGTTTGAAAGCGAACCATAGCTTTAATTCAAGCACTGACCACGTGCATACGAATGCAAGAAACTAAACTGTGCACGTACTAGACTTATTGTTAGTTAATAACAATGCACCCCAAAACCCTCCTACCCTTCCCTAATGCACATCTACAATTAAATCCTTAACAATTATAAATCATATTAATATAATACATGTATTTTAACTTTTAATTACTTTTCACGAACATACACGAATAAGTTTCTAATTTCTAATATCCCAAATGAAATAATAACTCATATTAGTTAATAAACTTTTACTTTTCATATGACAGTAAATGTTTTTGTTATTTAATTGTACATCAAATAAATTCACATTTAAACAAATTCATTTGTCCAATTTACATAATTTGTTGATACAAAGTTTTACTCGTGATTTGTAAACGTGTCAAACATTTTTATTAGCTGACATAAATTGAAATGCATAAATTTGACGTTAATTTCCAAACGCTTAACCATAACTGAATGCATCATTTATATATGTATTTCGTGAACGTGTGAACATGGTGAAAATGTAAACGACAGGGTTGTGCAAAAGACACACGTTTCGTCACAACGTGGTTGGTTAAGGTGGTACGAGAAGCTTGTAAGGTTGGTCTTGAAGAGAGAACTCCTAAACGTTAAGTGACCTTCTCGACTTAAAGTGTCACTTAGTCACAGTACCGAATTACTAACAGTGTACTAACTAAATTAGAACATGCTACCAGAACTACGATTTCCTTTGGACTGCTACATTTAAAGTCTTACATACTTGAACACGTATCTTTTTTACATATAAATAAATATTATATTTGCATGTTTCACAATAATTCTTGCCAATTTATATATATTTGTTTTTTATATATGAATAAATTATTCTCAAAATTGGACAGACAATTTTCTACGTTGTTTAATTAATATTATTATCAATTTATTTAGGAAATATTTATACAGATTTTATTATTAGATAATAATGAATAATATGTATATTAAAAATGAAAGAATATCGGTTCAGAATGTATGTGTGTATATGTACGAGTTTATATTTAAAATTGAACTAAGTCCATTCTAATTAGTTATTCTTTTCTGTATAATTTTATTTAATTAATAAAAAAAATAGCCAGAGACGATATAATATATATTCCTGGCGTAATTTTCGTGGATGTTTTAATTTTCACGAAAATATCATTCGCCCGAGAATAGGAAGATCAAGGGTAAAGAGAAGATGGTAATTAAATTCTCAACGTTCTTACAACGATATACTTTTTAATTATGATAACGATATTTTCATTAACGATACCCAACGTTGACTTTGCAAATATTTTCTCGAATGGATAGAAGACCAGTAAAACACTGGCCCACGTCAACAATCCTTTTTCTTTTCTGTATTTTAATTAGATCCGTTTATACAGTAAATTGAGATTCTTCACAAAGTATCAAAATATTCAACATTTCAATATGAAAAAATAAAAGTATCTAACAAGAAAAAAAATATATTAAAATAGTACTAAATTTTGATTAAATTTCAATTAACTTTTCCTTATGTTTTTATTCGATACATTAACAAATATTAAAACACGTATGTGTGTACATGTCAATGATCTTAACTGGTTTAATCAAATTTTATGCTATTTTGTTTCAGCAAGTCAAGAACTATCGAACAGAGCTGAATCTTTATTAAAAGAAGGAGAAAAAGCACGAGATCTCGGTGTACAATTAAATCAAGAAACCGATGTGATTAAACGAGATTTAGATAATGCAATCAGAATGTGTTCTGCACAAGATCGTTCTCTTTGTTCTGTCATTGATCCATCTGGCTTACGTTTCACTCTGCATATGGAACAAGTAAATAACATTTTTCAATAACAACTAACCAACCCCCTTCTTCTTTCATTTTTATTTTAATCCTTCCAATAGGATTTAATTATATATTCGTAAAAATAGAAATTGTTTAACCCCCTTTTGCACACACATTGTATTCAGTTCTCTTCTTATCACGCATAAAAATAGAGAAAATATTTAAGTTTAGTTATATTGAAGGAAAAAGACAAATAATATAATTGATACGTGTTTCGAACTCTTGTTTCAATCTTATTAAAATCTTCAAAAGAAATTGTTCATTAAATTCGTTAGTTCGTTAGTTCGTTTATTGAATAATTCAATTAAATTTTCTTAGATCTTTCTTTCTATTTAAATTTAAATAATATTCCATTGTCTTATATAAAATAGAGAAAGAGAGAATGTAGTTTGAGTGATACAAAGTTAATTGTTAATTTAATAAATAATATAATACCATTTATCTAAACGAATTAATAACAAAAAATATAAAACGAGCTACGAGATTCGTTTTCGATACGTCTGTTAATTTACAGAGATAAGTAAAAAAAAAAAAAAAAACAATAATCTTATCTCACGAATTTAATGAACTTCCCTTATCCGAAGATTATCTTTTATTCGTTGCAATTACAAAGTATACTTTTCCCTTATCTTTTTTTTTCTACTTTTTTTGTATTTTTATCTACGAAATAGAAAAAAAAAGGAAACAAAGAGAAGAATAGTTGGTGTGTTGGTGAGAAAATCGAATTGAGAATCGGGAAGACTGAAAGGCAACGTCCGAAATGGATAAAGGATTTATCCCGTAAAGTTGGTAACGTGGAATAAAATGAGACAATAGGATAAACGCTTAACTACGTATGACAGGCATGACTAAAAGAATGTAAAGAAAACTTTTCAAAACAACCAACTGCACGAACTGAGTCCTCTCTCTTTTACCTGAATTCTTTTATGAAATATAATTCTTATAAATTGTTCACGTTAGATAAAGAAAATGAACATCTAGTTTTCGTGACCACATTATATTTCGTTTCGTTTTTCTATCCAAACCGAAATATTTTTATTTTTATTCTAATTTCATTCATTCACATAAATCGTGTTTAGAAAAATCATAAAATATTTTATTTAAAATAATATTACTTAAAGTAAAGTTTTCTACATAACTCGAGTAAGAAACTGATTCTGATTTGTCATTATTAAAAATAATTAACTCGTCGGATTTTTGTTTAAAGTCGTCCTAGTTTATTTCTTCAAAAGGAACGTAGAAGCTTATCGAAAGAACAAAAAAAAAAGGGTAGAAAAGAAAGGATTTTGACGGTCAACGAATCTTATTCCTTTAAGCTGGGGAAGAAGAAAATAAAGAGGATTGTGTCTTTGTCAAAATGTCTTAAATGTATTGAATCATTCTTAAAATCGTCATTCAAAAATGAACTAGAAAAAATGTTAGTGTAAAAATAACAAATTTTTTTGAATTTTTATTTAAATATTGTATTGTATAAATTCTTATAAATAATTATTTTATATTTGATTTTCAAATTGTTTTAGTTAAAGTATCCTTCAGTAACGTTCCATAAAAATTCATACATACATATACATTATGGGACTTTTATATGGGTTAGTAGTTCACACTAAATGATCCGTGTATGGGGGATCGAATGAATAACTAGAGAAATCTATCCCATAAATTATATTAATATAATTATATTAATTATATTAAATTAATATAATATTATAAATTATAAAAAAATATATAAAATTATATTAAAATAATTATATTAATTATATTAAATTAATATAATATTATAAATTATAAAAAAAGAATATAAAATTATATTAAAATAATTATATTAATTATATTAAATTAATATAATATTATAAATTATAAAAAAATATATAAAATTATATTAAAATAATTATATTAATAATTATATCGTTATATTTCATTTAATCAGTATTATTAATTGGTAAATATTTTTACAGCTATTAAGGGACGATCGTATTTTGCGTTTACGCAGCAATAACAAAGAAAATCTCACCGAGGTTGGACGTCAAGTACGAGGAGAATATCTCTACTTACCCCATTACATCGCAAGAAATACTTTGGATGCGAGAAATCGTAGGTAGAATATGATCAAACTATTTCTTAGACGAAAATTCAACGTGACTGAATAGAAAGAGGGTGGTCCTATCATGTTTACAGTACAATACTTCTTGCATTTCTCTTCCGTACCGATAACCAATACAAATATGAGCAATAAGTTGCATATATTAGTTTCTAACTCCCATAGATTTTCTATGCTGTCATAATTCGCGTTCTGGGTTAAAATTAACAATTTTTTAATTATCAATAACTCGTGAAATAATTAATATTTAGGGCAAACAATTATGGATTAACAATGTGCTATACAATGGAAAACGTGTTTATCATTTTGGAAATAATAAAACAAATAAACAAACTACGCGAATTATTGATATCTAATAATCGAAATATATTTTATATTAAATTTTAATTATTATATTATTTTATATATAATTAAAATATATTTTATATTATATATAATTCATATTTCATATTAATTAATAATTATAATTCATATATTAATATATCATACTGCCGTAGATTTTCTATGCTATCATAATTCGCGTTATGGGTTAAAATTAGTATCTTTTTTAATTATCAATAACTCGTAAAATAATTAATATTTAGGACAAACAATTATGGATTAACAATGTGCATTCAATGAACAATAAAGTTGCAAAATATTAGTTTCTTACTCCCATAGATTTTCTATGCTGTCATAATTCACGTTCTGGGTTAAAATTAGTATCTTTTTAATTATCAATAAATTGTGGATTAACAATGTGCTATACAATGGAAAACGTGTTTATCATTTTGGAAATAATAAAACGAATAAACAAACTACGCGAATTATTGACATCTAATAATCGAAATATATTTCATATTTAAATATATTTTTTATAATATTAAATTCATATTAAATAATAATTATAATTCTATCATATATTTTCATATTTGACGATATATAAAATATATTTGAGACCTTAGAAAAAAATCTCAGGTAAAGGAAATACTTTCATATTCTTATTGATCTTTCAAAAAATAGAATTCAGGTAAAATTTGCCTCTTTTTTTTTTTTTTCTTTCACGCGTAAACTATACTCTCAAACCGATAGAAACAATATTTGACTTAGAAATAAAGAAACAGAAGAAAGAATTCTCAGCAGGATATTATTATGAAGTATAATAAATAAAGATTACAATGGATCCTTCTACTAAAAGAAAAAGGACCCATTTCTTTTTTAAAACTATTGTAAATTTGATCATATAAAAAAAAAAAAAAAACACCACTTTCTAAGGCAGAACACAATCGTTATTTCGTTTTCAAGAAAAGCAAACGTCTACGTTTCTTTCCTGTACAGTAATGGGAATAAAACCTAAGAAAAAAGAAAAAGAAAACTTAGCGAAAAGGAAGAGATAAAAAACGATGCAAAAAAAACCATAGAAAAAGATAGAAAGATAGAGAAAGAGAGAAGAGAAAAGAAAAAGCTTTGATAGAGAAAACGAAACGTGGTAAATGCCAGGAGCAAACACCATCTAGTTTCTCGCGAAGATACCGTATACGGTGAAACCCCAATGGTGGCATCCGTTCAAACTTGACCAATGAGGGGTGCGAAGGGGGAGAGGGAGTGGGGGGGCAGGGGAAATGGGTGATTGATGCCATGGGTGGACAATGTTGACGATTGTTCCTGTCTCACCGTGTCTTGGACTTGTACATTGACTGACTCTTCTTTTTCTTCTTTCATTTCTTTCTAACTCATCCAATCTCGATTCAACGACCTTTGCTTTCCATCTTCTTTCCTTTTCTTTTTCTTTTTCTTTTTATTTTTCTTTCTTATGGTTAAATTGAGGGCAATAGGGGATGGTGTGACGGTGACACCCCTCATCATCTAATGCGAAATCCATATCGTGTTCTATTAACCCCTGAAGATAAAAATGATGGGTAAAAAAAATCAACAAAAGGAAAAGATAAAAGAGAGAGGGGGGAGGGAGGGAGGGAAGGGGAGGGGAGGGGAGAGAGAGAAAAAGAAAAGGAAAGAAAAGGTTGGAAGATATTTGAGGTCGAGCTCGGTCGGTCCATTATGTTCTCGGTCTACTCACTTTGTTCCTAGACCAAACTCAAGGATACCACCCCTCCCCCCATCCCCCATCCCCCCATCACTGAGCTTTACCTAAAGAGAACAATGACACACACCACACCCGTGGAATGGGGTAATTCGTCGTTTATTATTCACCTTCTGTGCTTGATCGTCTTAATAAATCTCTACGATGATTTTAGGAAGAAAATTTCCCCTCCGACTACACCGGCGACCGATTCTCATCCTTATTGAGAGAGAGAGAGAGAGAGAGAGTGTAAATTAGGGGTAGTAGTTCGAAGTAAAAATTGCATCACCAGTCATCGTTATTTTCATTACTGGTTTCTTGATTTTTTTCTTAAGTTCTAATGTTTTTTTCTTTTGTTTCTTTTTAAGTTTAATTTTTTAGGCAATTGTATATAGGGACACACAAAATTTTATTACATTAATTAAACATAGATTGTTATATATATTGATGTATATATTATATAAGAAATTATTTGACAAATATAATAATTTTAATAATAATTTAATAATGTTAGATTGTAATGTAGAAAACAATAATTTAGGAAGAATTTGATTCAAGTCGCGAGTAAATTATATACGCGCGTTGTGTTTATTTTTTTGTTTGTTTTTATATTTCAAGGAAGATTAATGCATACCACCCCTGGAATGAATAAAGTTCACGTTGAACTTAAGAAATTAATGATTTCTTTTTTTAATTACCAACGCGTGTAAATGAAAAGGAATATATATGTATATGTATATAGAAAAAAATTATTTGAATGAAATGATTTTTTGTTTATCGTTTCGTAGAAATTCGTCGCGAGATAAATGTAGCACGTGCAAGGATTTTCCAGAAGACAAGGATCATGGAAACGAGCAGCACGGAACTTTCGAAACAACTCAAATCTGCGAAAGGTATCGCGGATTATGTTTTACCCTACGTCATTGCGTTCGAACAAAATAGATGGTTAGTTGGACTAGGTACGTACATTAAACTATTCTTTCTTCATATTCTATTAAATTTCAACGAGAAAATTTGTGTTATCCTTTAAAACGATATCCCAACTCACTCGTATAAAATACGAGTACAAATTCGTATTATTTCTTTTCTCTTAACGATACTTTTTTCCACGTACCATTAAAACGATTTAACATTTTCCTACCCAAAGTATATATATATATATATATATATATATTTTATCATACATATATATGTTAAAAATGTTTACCGAAATTTTTCAAAGAAATATCAGAGATTTGTGCAATACAGTAAATTGTACATCTTTGCAATTTCTTTGAAAAGTTTCGGTAAATATTTTTTATACTTAGAGCATATGAATCTTAATGATTTTTATATTAAATTAAAGGGCACACTTTTAGCTACACGTAGAGTACCTTTTCGTGGTATAAATCAATCTGCAAAGGTTCATAAAGAGTCAGAGAATGCAATGCTGTAAATTGTGCATCTTTGCCATTTCTTTGAAAAGTTTCGGTAAATATTTTTTATACTTAGAGCATATGAATCTTAATGATTTTTATATTAAATTAAAGGGCACACTTTTAGCTACACGTAGAGTACCTTTTCGTGGTATAAATCAATCTGCAAAGGTTCATAAAGAGTCAGAGAATGCAATGCTGAAAATTGTGCATCTTAGCAATTTCTTTGAAAAGTCTCGCTCAATATTTTGTATACTTTTAGCAAACGGGGATTCTATAGAATATCAAAGTATTATGTTCGATGCCTAAGAAAAACTCTCGAAAAAGTTATATTTGCATTCATAGTTATGCCGAGGAATTACTAGCAATGACTGATTTCCAGCTTTGATGATAACAAATATACAGGGTTTCCCACATAACTCTAGTCACAATTTTTCAAGTAATTACTATAACCTAACAAAAAAAATACTTCAAACAAAAATTGATCTGCTTTTAAAAGTATAAATATATATTTGAAATATCAAATCAAATCTAATAATCCTAAATACTTATATATTATCTATCTATCTATTTATCTATCTATCTATCTATTTATCTTCATCAAAAATGGGACAAATTCGTAGCAAACGTTAAAACGAATAAACCAATTTCAAAGATTTCTTACGTCGAAAATCGAACAAGCTAAATCTTTTATTCCAAAGAAATAAGTTTTGTCACCCTCCCCACCCCATCCCTGACCTACCACCCACTCCTTAACTCCCACCTCCTCTTCCCTGTTGAAGCACCCTTCAAAATATACCCCACTGCACACTGATTTATCCCATACTTAAAAACGACTACAGGAAACTTGACGTTTAAAGTTTGCCGGGTTGTACTTCTTACTTCGACATGATTCAATTTCATTTTCTAACAATCGCGTATAATTTTATCAATTTTCTCTCTCGACCTTTTCATTCGTTGTTTTTAACCTTCCTTTTCTAAAAAAGGAACTAAACTATCAAAATTGTTACGAGAATATTATTCGATATAACGAACACACACGACTTGAAAAAAATTCTTAATGACTCGCGTTTGTTAAAAAGAAAAAAAAAATAAATCTTTTTTACGTAGAGTGTATTTAGAAAAAAAATTAAAAAGAAAAATAAATGCACTTGATAGAAATGATACTCGTATTATCATGTAGAAAATAATTAATTGATTGATTCATGTATATATACAATTACTGTACCCCATAAAGATTTTTGTTTGAAAAAAAAAAAAAAAACTATTAAACTATCAATCGTAATTTATTTTATTGATTCTCTTATTTATATGGCTTCTTTGGAAAGTCATATTATAAATAAGAATCAATAAAAGAAACTAGCTCGACTTTTATTTAGGAGACAATAAATTAGTTTAATGTTGGATTTCGAAATAGAAAGTTCGTCGAAAATTTATTCTACGTATTTCTAGATTATAATATATATTTTTCTTTTGATTAATTAATAATCCATTAAGATTTAACGCACTTTCTAATATATTTTAATAATATCTTACAATTAGAAATTATTTTAACTAAAAAAATACATTTATTTTATGACTAGTAATAAATTTGAGTTTTGACAATTATTATCTAATAAAATATTATATCAAAATTGTTTAATATTTAATGTATATATATATATTTATATACAAATATAATAATATATATATATATATATTGTACTTTGTATTATTCTTAATTAATTGATTCTGATATTTTCACGACAAACATACACACACACACACATCTACATTAATACTAGAATCTTCCCATAAACTCATTCAACTGTCAATTCAACTATAAATACTTTCTTTCTTCCTACATTAATGTTCTCCCTATTTGTTCATATTGTTTCATAAAATTTCTTATCGTTACCTACATTTTAAAAAATTTCACACTAGTAGAAAATAAAACAATCTAATAATCATTGAATTTTTTTTCCTCAACGTTTAACCTAAACGCGCGAGGGGGGTATGTTTAATTATAATTCTTTTAAAAAGAAACGTGCTCGCATTCTTCAAAGAGAATTTTAACGCGCGTCCTAGTTTTACGAGAAAACTCGGGAGCTTAATTGTTCGTTCTCAATGGTAAATGATGAGCATGAATCTCAAATAAAAAGAAGAAAAAAAAAAGAAATCATTCTCCCACCCCCTTCCCCTCCTCCCCCCAACCTCTCCCCTCGGGAAACAAAACGTCAAACAATTTCACGATAAAACATTATGCGTGGTTGTTAATAATCGAATGTAACAAAGTTCTACGAATATAGTTTAATAAATCGATGAGAAAATAATATAACACGTCCTTCGATTTTTTATTATCGGACACAGGTACTTTCCTCTGCATTTTACCCGTCTGGTTATTATTACTCGGTGCAGTACGTTGTCATTGCAAATCTTCTGAGAATAAAATTCGATCTACCCTCTTGTGGTAAGTATACATCAAAATTTATTAAATTTTTATTCTAATTAAATAACGTATGGTATGTCTTTTTATTTAATACATAAATGACATTTTTAATATTACAAATTAAAGTTGCTGAAACTGTCCTGATAAAGGAACGAAACGTGATGTTCTGATTTCTTTTTGTTTATTTTTCTTACCTCGTCCAATTTTTTCTTACAATTAATATAATATTGGTTTGTATATATATATTTGGTTTGCAATTAAGTGATCACAGATGTTGTCGATAAATTATTATTCAAAAATTCGCACTCACTTAGTAACCAAACTTAATAAAAAGAATATTTTTTCAAAACTATTTCTTTTTTTTTTCAATTATTTTTCTTCATTAATATAAACTCATAGATATAATTATTATAGAAAAAAGCTTTCTATTCCATTATAATACAATATTAAATCTAAATTTTGTACACTCTTTAAACAAAACAAATTCAATTTATAATATCAAATTTTGTGTACTTTAGATAAATTCATAATGATCGTATAATGTAAAATAAATTAAAATAATGATATTTTAATTAAGCTTGTAAAGTCCAAAACTTTTCTATCACCGATATAAAATAATCTCAAAATTTATATTAGAGACATTAAAAATGAATTAAGTTTTTAACGACACTAATTAAATTTAAGTATCAAGATAAGAAAAATATTAACGAAAGATAGATAATAATAACAGAAGATAAAACTCATCAAACTAACGATAATAAATTTCATCGTAATCGTTAATGTGAAAATATATATTTCCTATCGTCATTTTTTTTCAGTACCGTCTTTACGAGCTGTTTCATTTCGATTGGTTTATGGGGAATATTCGTAATAAGTTTAGCGTTGTCTGGTCACATCGAGATGTTACTTTGTCGACCACTTCATGATCCTGAATATCGTACATTGGAAGCTGTTTTAGAAACCCGAGCTTTTTTAGGAAGAAGATTGAGCGTACCTTTGAAGGATATGTTCGAGTAAGTCACGTGATTTTAATGATAAGAAATATGAAACTATCCTAAAGAATATAAGAATAATTTTGTTTACAAAAATAATTATTAAATATTATCTTACTATATATACCCCATGTGTGTTTGTGTTTGATAGAAAGTGCGAAAAAAACGAAGCTGCTTATACTGCATTTAAACTTGACCGTACAATGCAATTAGAACAACTTACGGAATATTGGATGTGGACTGGAATGTCCAGAGCTAAATCTAAATTAAAAGTTGATTTAAAGGGATTAAAAATATTGACACCTAACTTGCATCAAAGACTTCAAAATCTTCTTTACGCATGCGGACCTAATCTTACCGAACATAGAATTATGGTACGGTAAATATATTTTTTTTTTTCGGATTAGATTGAAAGGCGTGTCACGTAATATAATAATAAATCAAAGGGACACGTGTTTTATTTGAACAGATACAAGGACCAATTTTAAGTAAAGATCCTAATGCTTTGTCTGATCAATTGGATAGCATTGCACGTCAACTTAACGATAGAAATGTTGCGAGAAATTTGCAAATGATCGGTTCCAATATGAGAGAATTAACATTGCGAAAAGTAAAACCATTGATGAAGATACAAGATAATTTGGTGTATCAAATAGCCGTATTGGAATTACAATTGTTACCATTCCAACGACAGATCAATCAATCTATTTCACATTTAAAAACAATTCAATATTACATCGATAATCAAGGAGATAAAATAGCTCAATTGGTATGTTAAATTTGTATTATTTTTCGGTATGAGATATTTCATATATAATATATTTTTACTTTCAGAAAGGAAAAACATTTATAAATCGATTAAATAATTATTTAGATCAATGGAGAACTCACGTGATTTCCGAAATGGATAGCGGTGTTTCGAAATGTCGACCATTATGGGAAATATTAATAGGAACAAGATTTCTTTTGTGTAATCACATTTTAGGTCCTTTAGTATGTAAACAAACAAATAACATTTTGTATTTTTTGTTCTTTAATCAACAATTAATATATGCATTTTTATTTTTAGAATGGTTTCTGGTTTGCTACGTTGATATGTGCAATTATTATGATAATCAGCACACCGATTGCTCATATTTTATCTTTGGTATATCGAAGACCGTCATTTTCGAAGAAGGATACATCATTGTTGTCGATGAGATCGTTAGTTTTTTTATTATTTTATTTAATATTATTATATAGAAATGTTCTTTTATGCACAAACAAGAACTAACACCAATTACATTTTGTCATCTCGCAAATCACATCGATTGTTTTACCCTCCGACTCACTTTCCACCCTTCGATTCTATCTCATTATTACTCTTGACTATGTATGTGTATGTGTGTATACATATATACATAGTTGGAATGAGTAAGTAGGACGTTGAATGCAAAACTACAGCTTTTGATTGATCTTGAAGCAACCTAAGCCGCTAACAAATGAAACAAAATCAACGAATAGTTCGAAGCTTGTCGAGTGAGCTTTGGTAAACTTTCACGATTGAACTATTTTAACATTTCTGACAAAGGAAACCATTCCCAAAATGTTTCTCTATGATTATCTATGAAGTATTGAAAATAGTTTATGTGCATTTGTATTATGTGCATCGTAATTTAAATTTATAAAGATATATGTTTTATAAAAAATGATATGTGAATGATTTATTTTTATTAAAGATCATTTTATATTTTTATACGATACACAACTTACATATTTTTTTGTGTCCAGAGGAAGTCCGGATACCATGGTGGTTGGGGGTAGTTGGGAAACTCCACAGTAAGTTGATTAATTTTATCAATCTAAATTTTATAATAAAATAAAACTAATTACGAATGAAATTAAAATTGTTTACAGGCCCTCGCAAGATGGATGGTGATTAAAATTTATTAGGAAATGGAAGATATTTTAATAAAGTTGATACAATTTCTTTCTCATTTTCCATAAATATTTTTAACGTTAGATAATATTTATTTATATATAATATATTACTTAACCCGATAAAAATAAATAATAAAACCGGGTTATAAAAATGCAACATTCTTGTGGTATAAATGTTTCAAAATAATATGAATAATATTATTCCAGTTGTTCCTTTTTGTTTCTTCTTTGTATAATATAAAAACATTTCATTGTCGATCCCCCGATTCATACAATCGAATAAAAAAACGATTTCTTTTTTCCCCTATTTCTCCTTTGATTTCCCATTCTAATCCAGTTTTCATTTTCCACCAGAATCTAACTCGCGTATTCTACGAAAATGTAATCAGGAATTTTAAACAATCGATACGAAGGATGCTGCTCCTGCTTCTCCTATCGAATTATTGGCAATGCAATGATACGTTCCAACATGATCTTTAGTTAAACGTGGTAATTGTAGCCAAGAAGTTTTACTCCAAGATTTCGGATCTATATTTTTTTCTACGCTGATCACGTATTCCTCATCTTTAAAATCAAAATTATTTATAATAATTAATCGTAAATATAAATGACTATGTGTGTAACGTTAATCTAACCAATACAATGTTGTTGTTTTTTGTCTCTTTAAACTCGTAAAATAAAAAAAAGAAAAAGAAAAAAATAAATATACAATAAGAATTGAATTAGTTATTTCTCTCTTTCAAAATTATAATTCTTATTGATAAGGTATCACAGGTAACTTGGACATAAAAAATATTAATAAAAAGAAAAATGTATGTACACCCAATGAAAAAAGGACGCTGAACTGTAAAGATTAAGGGTAACATGTAAAAAAATGATATATTGTATGAGCCTCATGTATATCGTAATATAATAAAATAAAATTTGCAGTTGCTGAATAAGACCCAATAAAGGGACGAAACGTCCAACTTATATTAAGGGGTTACATGGGTTTGGGACTTTCAAACAAATTTTTTTTTCAATTCTACAACTCATCTAGAATATTGTATTTAATTTTGAAGTCGATAGGAATAGTAGTTTAAAAGATAGAGCCTTGAGAAGCACTCAAATCTTTAAACGCGTTTTTCTCAAAACGCTTTTTCTAAAGTCGGTTGTCAAGATTTCTCCAAAACTTTTTGATAAAATTTGCTACACGTCTTCGTGATACTATTGACAAGGACTTGGACGAAGGATTTTTGTTTTTGTTTATCAAATCGAATTTTAAGAAACCAAAATGTGATGCAAATTCTAGCGAAATTTGAATGTTCTTGCTAAAAACGTTGCCAAAAATCCAAATATTAATTTTTTTCTTTTTCCTTCGTCCAGTTTCTAGTTTGAAGTATTCACTAAAAGACCCTATTTTTTCAACAGAAAAACCCCCACCGTTTATAAGTTCTGCTGTCAACGCGAGAACACTTTTTTTCGGTGGGGTCATCGGAAATGACGTCGCAATGGCGGAATTTCAAATATTTTTCAATCAAAAATTCAGAAAATCTTCTTTAAATATGTATCTTAAATACTATAAAAAGTTTGAATAAGAATTCCATTTTTTATATAGACAAAAAAAATTGTTGAAAATATGCTATTTTTTCCCGGTGTAAACCCATGTAACCCCTTAAATTAAGTTCTACTTCATTTTCATGTCCAAGTTCCCTGTGTGATACCTTATCATACAATAAGAATATTTATCCGAATGAGAATGAAAAATTCTTACTTGTTTGAAGTTTTAAAACTTTCTTCCCGTCCGGGGAATGAAATTCCCAAAAGATATCGGGCACAGGGAAACCTTTAGTTTCACAAGCAAGTAGAACAAGCTGGCCAATATTCGAAACGACATGTTCCGAGTAAGAAACGATCCACGGTCGAGTTGGGCAAGGACCAAGCTGCTGTAATTTCAAAGACAAATGACTTTTCAGTCTCATGGCTTTCTCGTGAAGAGCGCACGGGGTTTCGTAAGTCACTTGATCGCTACCGCATGCCGGTGTCTGTTCCATGCAGATACAAATCGTTTCTGCTACGTCCTAAATCAATAAATAAATCTACAATATTTACTTGTTTAAATATTATATATATATATTAATTCAATTTAAAACAAAAATATATATATTTTAGATATTATGAAAAATCAAATTTCGAAGGAAGGAGGAACGATAAGAAAAAAAAAAAGAAGAAAATACATTTCTCTTTCATTCTATCCAATCAACTTGATTATTTGATTGCGCGAGTTCTCTTATATCGTATCGAATTATATCCGTTCTACTTGATTATTTGATTGGACGAGATATTATCATTCGACGCCTACGAAACGAAACAAGACGAGATTACTTTCACTCGCTACGATTATGGATCTGTTAAGTTAGTCGAATTAACATTAACGTAGGAAGACGACACGTATTATTATAATAATAATAATAATAATAATATCGTACGATTTTTATATTATACAATGTGTTTTTTCTTCTTTTTTTTTTGGTCTCTTACTCTTTCTCTCGGATTTATACAAATATAAATTAAAATGACATATATATCATCCATATATTAATTATAATTATCTTATAAAACGAAATATATTTTCTAATCTCTATACCTCTTTTTGAAGATCGTTACGTAATTGGCAGAAATAATTCCTCGCACATAGACCATCTTTACGGTTATTAGCGTATGGTTCCGTTATACTTGAATTCCAACAAGGTTCACCACCAAGACGAGCACATATACCTGCCTTACAGCAACCACAAGGATCGGATACGGATCCCAAAAGACACTTTGATGGATTCTCCGGACATCTATATTTATATATAATATTTAATATAATTCAAATCATTTGACTTATTTGTTAATGAATTAATTCTTTAACTATATCATTTGTTAACATTCAAACGAAATATTTGAATCGAAATGAAAGATTAAAATAAAAATAAAATATAAATCGTTGAATGAATTTATAAAATTACATTTATACAAATATTGTAACATGTCAAGTATACAAATCATTAATTATTGTAACTTGAATACCTGTATTCTCCACATTCAATGCAACCTGGCAATTTATTATCTTTCGATTCATGCGATTTCGATTCTTTCACCAATGACCCAAACAATATGGGACTTAAATCAAAAGTAACCGAGGTACGATCCTCTTGATGCGAAGGTAACGTTGAAAAAAGTAGAAACAAGAAACACGAAAAGGATGACGAGGACCACCATGGGAATGCTCCGTTACGCGTCATGTTGATGACTGATACGAGATCATGATACACCACTGTCATCTCGTTTCAAAGATAAAAGTAGAGGGAGGCATGAAGTTCCTCTCCTCTGTTAACCATAATTAAATGTAACTTTAATTAATTGAATTTAACTTATATAGAATTGTTTTTTCAATATTTTTCATTAACATTTTAATTTTATATTTTTGTTATCTATCGGTATGTTTATTTTTAATTACATTCAAGATAAATAACAATCATAATTTTTATTTATATTTTACATTTTATTTTAAATTAATTAATTAATATAATATTTTAGTTTAAATTATTTTTCTTTTTATTTTAAATAGAAACTACAACGTAGAAATTCGATTTATTATATTCGAATATTCAACATCATTGTTTGTATTCCAAATTCCTACGTCATGGGATCTATTATATATTATACCTTCGAGATATACTAGAATTGTTCTCTCTTACTCAACGTTTATAATTAATAGATCAATTCAATAGTGTCATTTTGTATATCTTGTGAACATCGATCAAATTCAACTGTGAAGAATATAACCAAAACTGAAAATTAAACGAACGCATTGTATTCGAAATATTTTTAGATTTACTATCCTTGCCAGATTTCTCTCTCTAAAAAGAAAACAAAATAGTATTTCTCGAAAATTGGATTCTTCAAATAGATCTATTCTCTACCTATTTTTCTATAATATCCATGAAAAAAAAGATAAATATCTGGAGAAAGGCCACAGTGACCATTTATAGTCTCAAAATAAATGCTTTTCATGCTACTTTTCAATTTACTCAAGGAGAACTTTTTCCTTTCACTTAAAATCCTTTTATTCTTATATAGTTATAAATTACTTTCTTTTTTTTATTTTTATTTTCTTTAGAAAAAAAAAAAAGAAAAGATTGAAAAGTAAAACCATTGTTAGTTTTAACATTGCTATGAAAAATTTCAAAGAAATACTTTGAAAGTTGTAAATTAGTTTTAACAATTAAAACTTTAAAATATTTTCTTTTTCAATAGTTGTGTTTCTCGAAAGGTATAACAAAAATAATTCTTCGAAAAATCTTTATTTTTATAAGTCTTTGTCAGCTGCATAACAGATTTTCATGCTTTCTCGACAGTTTCTTCAATGATGTTGTCTGAATAGAAGCATAACAAGTAAGAAATAAATATTCTCGATCGAAATTAAATCAGTTACATGTCAATACGGAATAAAAATAATCAAATAAATCAGTCACGTTGCATATTGATCCTTTTCTAATAGAAAAAACGAATAGTTTTTTCTCAATTTATCTGACAATGAGATATATTCTTATATCTGTCACAAAATTCTACCCTTTATTTATAAAAATAACACTCGTTGAATAATTTATATCGAAACAAATATAATTAAAAAGAAAGAAAAAAAATTTGTTGTATGCATGATTCTAAATAAAATGATTTAATCATAAATAAATAAAAAAGGGAACAAAGTTTCGTCGTGTTTGAATAAAATTTCGTTTAATCATCGACCGAAATATTTGAGACATAATTTTTGTTGGAAAATATAACGATGATATAGGGTTAATCCTGATGACCAGATGATTGCAATTAGAATTAATATGACGAAGGATAGAAGGGTAAGAGGGCCAGGTGAAATTGCGGAATGACCGATGGTTCCGATGTAAGAGACGATGTCTTTGCAGGACACCTTTTCTTTCTTCCAATCGCATTGACATTTTTCTGTACGTGTATTCCATGATATCGTTGTCGTTGTGTAATCTCCACCTACCGGACCCACCACACCACGTGTCACATTGGCCCTTTGGTGAGATACAGAGACAAGGATACAAGTAAATGTCTATCTCATTTCGATCACGTGCAAGGACGAGTCTACTAATATTCTATTTTCAAATTAAAAATCAATTAGATTTTTATTATGATTTGACAATTATTTTCTTCCCGTATAATTCATTCATTCCTTGCACGATTTTTCGATATATTAAACGGATAATGTTTACACGTATATAAATAGTATCGTTATAAAGATACACATTTACGCGTGTAAAAATACTTTCACTTGTGTTAAACAAATAAATAAATTATCTGTATACAGATAAGTTATCTAATCGTAATTATTGTCCGAAAATGAGATAAAGTGAAAACCTATTAACGAGTCCTGCACGTTTTGTGCTTAACGTAAATGAGATTCATGACACGTCATTTAACGATTTATTTATTACACCCTTGTTACTTTCCCGAACACGTCGATTATCATTATCACCATTTGAGATAACACTCGTAACGTCCATTCGTTTCTCTCGCGTTACCGAAATATTGTCACCAGCAATGATCACGTTTGAATCGTTAAACGCGCAACAATAATTACAGGTTTTATCGCAACCATTTCCATCGGGTGCACAACGACATCGCGATGGTTCGTCTTTAATATTCGTAACCCCATAAGAACAACAATGATCGCAAGAAATATCGCATCCAGTTTCGTTGCTACTGCAACGACATTTAGAACAATCTTGAAATGATTTCTTGCGAGAACAATCGTATGCAACGTTATTATTATTATTATTATTAGTATCGCGATGATAACTATGAGGATGACAAGATGAATCGTCATTTATCGAACCTAAATTGCGAGAATAATCATAATCGATATCATCTAATGCACCCCCTTGATCGGATTTATCGTGACGTTGATAAGCAGAGCGAGTAACCGTATTCAAATTGTAAGTATGATTGAAAGCAACGTCCGATCGAATTTCGTCAGACCTGTCGATACGTCGATAACAATCATGCGAATCCAACTCGCAGGAACACGTCCCACCCCCATCGCGTTTGCATTCCCGTTCCCGTTTCCTATCTTCGGTTCCTTTCTCGCAATAACCAGACGAGAAAGGATCTCGCGATTTATTCTCGCTAATATTCCTATTGGTTGACTCGTCCTTATTGTTATTGTTGTTGTTGTTGTTGTCATGGTTCATCATCGCGATGATTTCTTGTCGCGTATCATCACCTCCCGCTCGTCTACGACAAATAGTCGAAGACTGACCTGTTCTTCCACAATTTCCTGACGATGATCTATTATCCTTGATAATACGCGGACACGTCTCGCAAATATCATCCCGACAATAATTCCCAGCACCGATGCAATATCGTTCCACTGATTTGCGACAATTAGAGGGTGACGGTGAGCGGCAGCCTTGAAGCTGAAGAAGATCAGGAGATTTAGGTCGACAAGGTGAACGCTTAGGACACGGTGAACTCGGACAACAGGGATGATTCCCTCTTGGAATGGCATTACGACATATACTTGAAGTACAGGGATCGCAAGGTGCCGGCAAACAGGGCTGACACCGATTACAGTGACACTTTGGACCGGGTGGTAATCGTACCAAGGGACAACATAATCTACTGTTAGGACATTTAACCATTGTTCTAGGAAATCTTCTTTCGCTAGGTGGACATGCACATTCTGGAGATGATGGACAATTACAAGTGCAATCACGTTGAGCACGTGCATCGATTTGAACTGGCGGTGGACAATTACAATTTCGTGGCATCGGTTGGCACATGCAATAATTAGTCGTGCATTGGCAACAACTTCTTTTTTTTTTTAAGATAGACTTCGGGGAAGGTGAACACGGCGATTGGCAAACAGTCGACGGTCTACAAGGTGAAGAAGGCCGTGGTACGCAACTAGGATTCCACGAACACGAAGAAGAACGATCCGTACTTGGTGATCGACATCGTCCCGTTGGGCAAGGTCGACCACAACCCGGTGCTGCTGGTGGTGGACAACCACCCCCAACCTCTCTTCGAATGACGTTACTAGATTCCCTCGAGGACGCTGATTCCGTTGGACTTAAATCTCTTTTATCGCTTGCACCACCGGCTAAACGATGATCCTAACGAAAAATCAGAAAGACAAAGTTTTTTTTTCATTTCTTACTCACACGTTTAATCATTATATCCGTTTATATCCGAATAACACGTTTGAATTTCGAAACAACGATGAATGAAAATATTTTTCATGGGAAATAATAATAATAATAATATATATACTTTAAATTGTTACAATTTTCTTTTCACCCTGTCTTATAATCCCCCTCCCCTCTCTTTCCTAACTTTCTCTCTTTCTTTCATCGTTGCTACAAAAGATATTTGTCCTTAACACGCTTTAATAGAAAACATGTGGTCTCTCGACGTGAGTCTACCTCGGTATACCTGACAGTCCGACGATGGTAAGACAAAGCCGGAGGTGCAAGGGGTCGTTGGCAAACACGGTCGACAGGGGGTAGCAATTTTACTGTGAATCCAATGAAATTTTAAAAATAAAAAATATAAAATATATATATAACGAACAATATTTAATTTAATTCCTATCGTTTCTAAAATCCTTAATTTATGATTTATCTAATTACCATTATCGATATAATTAACGTTGACATTATCGTTTGACAAAAGAATTTGTGTTCAAATTAAAAACTCATTTACCATTATGTAATATTATTTAATCTTAATGATTTTTTTACTCACCGCGATCGACAGTTGCAACACTTGCAGTTTTGTTTACGAGCATGATTACTCCATTGGCGTCGAAGTTCCGAAAAATTGGTCAACCATTCGCAATTCGGTTTGGGTGGTACGTTACTATTCCAAATTTCTTCTTCTAAGCATTGACATGGTCCAGGACATGCACCGGTTGCTGCTGTACTGCTAGGACGAAATCCACCGCAATCATTGCGATTTAAACAACCTACGTTCTTTTGACAATGACATGAACGTATTTGAGATTCGGAAGCGGAACAACCGCTCGATCCAATCGTACAATTTGTTCCTAATATAATAAATAACCATACACATTTCATTTATCAATATATATATATTCTTTTTAAAATACAAATTTGTATTTTGTAATGAATTGAAACACGTACCACAACAACCAGTACCAGGTGAACGTTCGATGTTATCAACTCCTTCGCAACAGGACATAACGTTAAAATTTCAACTTGTGATAAATAACCAGATTACGATACGATGCCATTTAGAATAATATTGTGTTTGTTTGTTTGTTTATTTTTTTTCAATAATATTTTGCCAAATGAATCAGATATCCATACGATATTTGGTTTACATTTTCGAAATACTTTCTATCACCCTTGTTTGTCTCGATAATATGATGAATAATGTTAAATGCGATGAGAATAGACACTCATGCCGATTGACTCATAGTTTTTCGGATGACGTATAGGAATCCTTGGAAACCAAATTACTTTAGTTACCGTTAACAACATATTTGAAACAATGGAATCAAATTATATCTCTAGGGAGGTTTTAAAGTATTCAATTTATCATTTATTAAGACAAAAGTAAGAGACAGGTTCAGAGCATTCGCAGGAGTCCAGTTTCGCGTTTTAAAAAACTCATCAAATATTTTGCAAGACACTCTGTATAGTAACTCCACAAAATTTTCGAATCGGGCCCCGCAGAAAATCACATCAGTCCTGTCTTAAACAAACCTAATGTTTCTTAAAAATATCCTAACTTTGATGTTAAAGCTTTTTCGATATGCTAAGTAAACGAATTTTAAAAGTAAAATATTAAGGATTTTATAGAAAAGAATTTTAACAATCAGATTATAAATAAAATGAACAAAAAATCATTTATCCTAGAAAATTATTCGGAGAAATACAATTCGTACAAAGAAAAAAAAAGGTTAATAATTTCAAGAAGAAGGAAAAAGGAAAATTAATAGGATACAGATGTTACTTTATCAATAAATAAAAATTCTTTTTTGTATAAATATGATTTTATCTTTCCTATGGTTTCAAAAGAAAATTTCTAAAGAATATTTTAACCATTGTTGAATATAGAAGGAAAGAAAATATAATCAATCCGATTCTTTCCTCTTCGTTACCGCAGTTTCTTTGGAAAAGACCAAACAATAAGAAAACAAAATCCTTGGAACGATTTCAATGCTATGTTTCAAAAAAAAAAAGAATAAGCTAAAGTATACACCATAAAGAAAACACTACCTTGCTCAAAAAAATGAATGGTGGGGGTTAAAAAACGGAAACGGAAGAATCTTGTAGAAAATAAGTGCACAAATATTTTTTTTTTTATAATTTTTCACGTGTCAACAATGGCAGAAAAAATTAAATAAATTATTGGTGAAAAAATAATTTCTAATATACAACAACAAATATG